ATCACTTTAAATTAAACTTACACCTAAGTGAGAGCAAATGTCACATGGGGTTGTCCTGCTACACCCTGATCAGCTGCTTGTTCCATATATCAGGGTATCCCCTGCCCTGTGCCAGAACAAACACTTGTGAGGCCACAGAAATGGTGAGATCGGGTAACTGATCAATACAGTGGGGTTGGGTTCTTTTCTGAATTAGCATTTGTGCACTATGTAAAGCAAAATGTAAAACTCGGTTTCACATTTCATAAATGGGCTGATAGGTACCTAAACCTGCTGCTGCATGACTCAGACAAAAGCAGTGGCATGTGATTCCAGGTGTCAGTTATTCTCCAATGTCTTTCTCTTTCTAAAAGTCTGTCCTCTTCGCATGCTTTATTGCTGCCTTGCTCTGCCCCATATTTAGCTATTTCTTACATTTCCTAATTTTGACCTGGATACACCTGTATATACATAGTTAACCTGTAGTTACTCATACCTACAAAATGAATCTTTTAGAATGGAAGAGAAAAACAGAAACACCTTCCACTCACATTACCCTGGAGACTAAGTTGGCCAAGTTCAATGAAGGAGAGCACGCTAGTTTAATGAATGAGTGCAGAAACGTGCTCAGTGCAGAGATTCAATATTTGGCTGGTGGCTGGGGTGGAAGGCATCTCTGCTCGCATGAGGTCTCCTTTCATGCTTGGTTCATGCTGAACACATGCAGAAGAGAACAGGGACAGAGAGCTGATACGGTCCAACCTAACAAGCAGTGACTGAATAGGTATAGTCAGGCATCCAGCTTGGATTTATAAAGTATTACAGTCATTTTTTTTCCAGTATTGAACCTTGACAAGGTCTATTTGACCTGAACTGCCAACCTCTCCATGGCAAGATGGACAAAGAATAAAATTCTGATCTTCAAATATAGAGCACAGAAGACAAATTGCTGAACATTGTCCTGCTAAAGGGCACCCACAGGTAGCTCAGCACTAATTTTAATCTATTTGATTGAATGTCTACCCCTTCACTCCTTACAATAACAAACCTGTGCAGTGAAGAACACAGTATCTCAGGGTTGAGCAGCAATACACTTCAGTGCTCTTGGGAAAATTCTGTATTTCTAATTACATAATGATTTGTAATTAGTTGAAGAGTAAGAAGAAATGAAGCTTCTGTGCCTGGAATTTCTATGTGAAAACCCAAAGCTTGGATGGAGAAATATAGATGGATAGCTTGGATGGATGGAGGTTCTTTAAATCATCCTTGGTTTGACTTCATAGCCTTTTTTATATGCTTGAAACTTAAATGAATAAATGCAATATAACACTTTGATTTAAATATCTTGTCTACATTTCTTTTGTAACCAAGCTACATTCCTTTCTTTTTCAGTCATTCCAGGAGCTAAGCATATTATGGATTTAAATACAATTAGTATACTTTTTTAAACTGGAAATGCAAGTTTGAACTCCCCGCTACAAATGTTAAAGATAACTCAGCACTAAAAATACAAAAAGTCACATTTTGCAATTTTTTATATCAAAATAGTTGATAATACATAAGAACTGTACACCATTCATCATATACATGTCAGTGACAACAAACCTCAGTAGATCAAAGGTAAATAAGAATTCAGACTTTACATGAAAAGGAGGAGGAAAAGCTGTAACCATGTAGTCCATGTAAACAAATACATGGGAGAGGAAGAACCAAAAGAGGATTGCTGCCAATTCCCTTGCAAAAGCTATCCAAGGAGGAGGGAAAAGCTGACCCAGCTAATTCCTTCTTTGTGTAAAGACGACAAATAAAGGACGTTTCCTCCTGTATTAGTCAAATTAGGCAAAAATTATATCAAGCATCGTGTCCAAAGAATCAGACCATTTTTAAACTACAGCTCACAGAAGTAATAATCAGATACTTTAAACTGTATTCTTTAAGTAATTTCATTTCCCCTTCAAAAAAAATCCCCCAAAACCCCCAAACCTTTATTTGTTAATTACATTCCTCTACACAAAGTAACCCTTGTGTCTTCCTATTAGGTTCATACCTATCTTCAAGCACCAGTGAACCCAGCCATTCACTGGGAACAAAAGCACATACAGTTTCAGCTTTCATTGGTGGTTTCTTTTTTCACTGGACGTAAGCCAGACTCAAACTGTTTGAGGGGGGAAGTAGCAGACACACACAAGCCACTATTTATTTCCAATCCTCATACAAGACACCTGATACAAGCCACAATGAAGAGAAATCCAAGGATTCAGTGTACAAGCATGGGAACTCACAAGAGTGAAAGTTGGAGGGATGGCAGAAAAAGAAGGGGGAGGGTGGAAACACGTGAATTTGGTTTTCAGCTAGAAGGTTCCTCTCATTTTTTTTCCCAGGTGAATGTGCTACAGGTGAATCTGTTGCTACAAAGAGACCTGGGCAGCTCAGGTGTTCTGTGCTTAAATCACACTGATTTTTAACTAACGAGTTCCAGGAAAAGGACCTTCCATCAGGAGAATTGATCGCTGCTGGTGAGCAAGTATTTCTCATTCTTAACTTCCCTTTAACGCAGCAATAAGGTTTGGTCTACAAATTACAAGCCTAATTATACAAAAAAGACAAATGATAGATTCTTAGAGATTAGCTAGCAAAACATTTGTTCCAACAGAGAGATGAAGGCAATTTATATGGTGTTAGCTGTCATTTTTTTCTCTTAATCAATTAACTAACATTGGATCATGTAACATCAAAAATTCAGGGTAATGAATTTAAACTTCCTTTAGCTACAGCTCCATAAATTATCCTTCCAAAACCCTATTGGTTTTCAGTAGGATGATAATTATTTAAGCTTCAGATAATTAATCCTGTGACTTGAAGAGATATACACTTTGATTTTTTCATGAATACATCATGAAAGAAAGAACTGGTTCACGCATTCTGTACTGGCTGTATAGGGACATTATCTGGTGTGATTTCAAAGCCATAACTATTTATGTTTAAATAGTATTTTAACATGTTAATATAAATGCTAGATTTTACTGTTAACATCTAATAGGTAAACTGATACTAAATATAGCTATTAACTTTCACACAGAGTTGCTACAAATACTCATTTGTCAAGAGTATAATAGTAGGGTGTAATGACCTGCTTTTTCTGACTGAAGTTAGTGGTCTGCACAAACATGCAGAAAATTTGAATGGAATTTTTATTACAAAAAATCCTCATCCCCCAGACTTAACTAAAAGTAATAGTGCCTCCTTAGAAAACACTGGGGAACTTCACATTTTCTTATTAAACACCCATAATCTCCAATCATCAAATTAATGTGCATAATTAATAAGCTCCAAAGGAGACTCCCTTCTAAAATTCATCCAACAATCACTAACATGAACAAGCCTAAGCAGGAAAGAATGTGAAACAAAGAACAACTCCAGTGTTGTGATTTCATGTGGGGGAAAAGGCAATTGTTATGGACAAGACTGAAAAGAAAAACATTATAATGGATGTATTAATTATTTTAGCAACCTTCAGAAATATAGAATTCTTACTATAAGATGGCACTTCATTTTTTGTAAAATTTTACACATTTTAATGTGCAAATTTTTCCTGACACTTGAATAGAAAAGTTTTCTTGTATTGAGATTGCCAGCTACTGGAAGTGGTATTTGATTTTGTTCACCAGAAATTGAAATGTTAACAGTGATGTTAGTAATGTTGAGGAATTCATTAAAGTAAGGATAAAAGCTGCTGCACTTTTCATGACTCTCTGTCCTAAGCAGCACGAAGCCTCTTCTTTTGCTAGTACTCAGGGCTGTAATTCCATACTGGATATAACTTTTAAGTTCAAGTTTGAAATTTTCTTTATAAATACAGGCACAAGTGCTTTGGGGGATTTTTTATTTTATTTATTTTTTTTTTTTAAATTTAAGTCAAAGCACTTTCTCAACAGGTCATCTTGGTAACTCCTAAAGCTCAGCCTCTGAAAAGTGGAATCTCCAGCGAGAATTGATAAGTGGACTGGGTCGTATCCTGAGCTACATGCATAATATTTTTTAACTTAGTTCAAATCATCAGGTATCCACCTGAATATCTGAGTTTTAGTGCCTAAAGGTGATTGTACCAGGCAGAAAGAAGACGTATCAATTTAAAAGATTTGGCTTTGTAATGCCTTTCTTCAATTGGTGCTTTTGTTCTCTGACTTTTATCAAGAGCAGAAGTTACTGAATTTCTTATAAAGATTTTTGTCAGGAAGAGAAGCAAACATCTTCAGAATACTGAAATAGCCAGGAGCACAGATGGTTTGTCTTATTAAGCAGGACTTGTGCTGAAAATCAGTTTAAAAATACCATGAAGAATGAGGAAATTTTTTGAGATTTCATTGTGAGAAACAGCTGGAAATTTCGTTGACATTTATCTCACAGTCTTTAACATCCTGGTTCACAGAGTGCAGGCTGAAAAAATGATGGAAGTTTCAACATTCTGGAGGGATTTGCCAATTTAAAATGTATTATACCTAGAGGCAAATACTTGTCAATTTTCCTATTTTATTAAGAAGAATATCATGAGATATCTTTTGACCAAAAAGCCTACTATTTGTGAAAAAGATCCCATGCTGTTACCTTTCACTGAAATTAAAAAAACCTAACAGAATGAACAACTAGTAGCACTGTCTTCAAATTTTCATGATCCAGTACCACAACATTGTACTAGCTCATAAGAATCAAATGCTGGGTGACCAGAAATGAACTAAAATGGACTTTGTTGCTCTGATCACACTGTAGTTAGAACTGTCCCCTGCAGCCCTTGACAGCTGAAAGCAATGCTGCATGATAAAATTAAGCACCTGCATTTTGCACTTTTCTCACAAAGAAAGGTATTTTTAGAAATGACAAAAATTGTCTCTGTAGTACAGGTTGTTAGGATACCACTAACACATTGATTTAGACTACACCAGGTCACAAATCCATGCAACTAAAGCTGTTGCTTTGTTTTCCAGTTTCTTTGCTGTGTTGAAAGGGGTCTTCTCAAAGAAATAATGCTCCATTCAACATTGGCCTTGTCTCTCCTGCTAATTGCAGTCTCTTCCAACCTTGCGATGGCAATCAAAAAGGAAAAACGAGGACCTCAGACACTGTCAAGAGGTACTGTATTTACTATATGTAGTTACCTCCTTATCTTACTATACAGGTCAGCAAATGTTTTTATTTGGAATGTACTTGAAAGCACATATATACTGAGGTGTGTTTCTCTAGTGTTAAGTGACACTCTGTGTCTTCTTATTCCATGTTGTTTCACTCCATCCTTTTGTTCTTAAGGATATGGATGAGGGCCTCATATAACCTGCATAATTTATATAACTCACAGTGACCTAGGAGAAGCAAAAAACCTAAACTAAGTTTCTCAAATCAGGATGCACTTGTAGGACTATCCATGAAAAACTATTCTTTCATATACCAGTTAAAAGATATTTTGTTATGGTAACTCGTTAACTGCTGACACACAGTTTCATAACTTCAGTTGCTATGGAACAGTTTTTCTACAGATCCATTTTTATACACAGAACAGCAGTTTGAGCCACTGATGGGGTTTTTCTGCATGACTTTTTCTTTCTTTTGTTTTTTTATCAGATAGGCATAGTCGTGCTTTGCAGTGAATAATTCTCTTCCTTGCGGTGCATAATATTCAACCTGGATGTTAACTAAAGACCCTATTTTAAGTTATTGATGCCTGATCAATCCTTAGAAATACACACAGAGAAATAACTTACTAAGGTCTTTTCCTATTCTCCATCTTTCCTCTCCTTTCAGGCCTATTTACCCCCCAAAATCTGCAGCTCCCTCCCTGACATCTTCTGCAAGCTGTGCAAAGCCTGCACGAAGCACTGGCAAATCTCTGTCTGTCACAGAGGTCCCATCTGAGCCTCATTGCTCAGAGAGCATTTGACAAAATCATGCAACACCTGGATTAAGCAAAAAGAAATAGCAAATTGATTATTATAAGCAGGATCCCTGGAGAAAGGTCACACTCAATCTGGTATCTATTGCCTCTCTTACCTAGATCAGGATTTATTTTTTCCACTAAGCCTAAATGCATAAAAAGACAACAAAGTCCCTTCAATTCTGGCAATTTTGAAAAAAAAAACCACCAAAAAACCCCAAAAAAACAGTCACAGAAAGCAAGCGTCAGTTTTCTAATTCTGATTTCAGGCCTTTTGGGATGCCTTGAGCACTTTACCTGTAATTTTCACAGATCAAAGGGGAATACTTAAACCTGCTGCAAAATGACCCCCGCTGACTCCTCTGTGCAGTTACCTACGTCAGCAGTTGACTTCAGCCAGGGCTGGGAACGCACTGGTCAACGCGCCAGAATCCCACCATCAACCAGACAGATATGTAATTGAAATCACTCTCCTGAAAGAAGAGATGACCTAGTAGCATGTCCAAACAGTGCAGAAGAAAACAGAGCCTTAACTTGGTCCAGATCCAGAAGCTGTTCGACAATTCCCATAAGGGCCATCATGAATGGAGCAACACTGCCTGGGAGGCAGGGATCTACTACACAGGGGCTGGCATCTTTGGGATCTGAAGGCATGAAATCAACTGGACAATTTTCTTTTTGAGATCAGTGCATCGTTCATGAGCTATGAACCTGATGATTCATTAGGATTTTGTTTCAGTGGAGGCTTTTATTTAGCAGCCATTCTTTTATTAAATTGTTTAATTAAATGAAATACTTGCAACTCGAGGTATTGAAATTCATTCCTCAGGAGTTAATTTTACAACCCAAGACGTTCTAATGACATTCATATTAAAGTCAATCTTATTTGAGCTGTCATATTTTATTTTTCACTCTGTATAAGCTAACTTTCTTTTTAAGCCTCAGGGTCTACATGAAATACAGAGCAGACAATATAGAGATATAAAAAATTTGAGTGCTGATTTAGGGACCTCTGAGTATTTAGAAAGATATCTAATGGGTTTGCCAAAGGACTTGAACTGGATATGCAACCAGCTGAGGGTTTTGGGGGGGGTTGTTTGTTTGGGTTTTTATAATCTTCCAATGCACCTATCGAGAGATGTAGAATTAGCATATCCACATCTTTTAGGAACCTTTGACTAAAAAATCCAAATCCTATTTGTGTACAACTATTGTTAAATATATAAAAAGCAATTTGTTATGAGTTACTTGCCTGGCCACCAGTTAATCCTTTTGTTATATTTCTAGGGTGGGGAGATGAAATTACCTGGGTACAAACTTATGAAGAAGGGCTTTATCAAGCAAAAAAAAGGTAAGAGATTAAAAAATAGTCTGAAAGACCAAGTTGTTAATCAGTCATGCCGGAATATACTGTAATGAAACAGAACAAAGAAACTCCATGACAGCTGATCTGCAGAGCACACAGTTAAATAAAACAGATTTTATGTCTATAAGTAAAAGCTGTTGTAGGGGCCTTATGATTCTGAAGCAATATCATGGGCCGATAGTTTAGCAGTGTAATTTCTTTGTCACAACAGCAGTGTTGTTATTTGAATAAGCAATGATAAATAGATATTATAATTTTAAAAAATACACCTGTTGTGTTTTTTTCAATATCATGTACCTCTGATTACTTCCTTAATCAACATCTGGAAATCAGTTACATTTGCTCCTGCATGGTGATCTACTGCCTCTGACGTTTTCCTCAATGCTTTATTAGTTGGCTTATCTGCATGATGTACTCACAGTTTCTTGCTATCTCAGTAGAAATGAAAGTTCCAATCTGCATATTTTCTGAGACTCAGCTGAAAATGTATCTGAGAATTCGTAACAATATTTATTTAAGTCTCTTTTACAGTTCATTTTAGATCATAATAGTGTAGCACCAGCTATTGTCAAACTGAAGAGAAATTAATTTTAAAACAAAAGACAATTAATTTCATGTACCTTATGTGAAAATGACTAGGAACTGAACAATTCTTGACAGTGATAGCAGATCAAGCATTAGCAACTGATTTGCTGAACAGTAACAGTAGTTTTTTAAAAATACAGGAGAAAATGCACAGAATTTTTTTATGTTTTGACATCCCAAAACAAAAAATTCTGATACTTCATCAAACTATTTACAGAAAAGAAATAATTTACTGTACATCTATTCAAGAAAGCTTAAAAAACATGAAAATTTTCATGGGAAGTATTCGATGATAAACTAAATTTTATAAAAATTCTTTTATTCCAGTTCATACAGATTACTTAATGTTCTTAATCATGGAGAACTTCACACCTAAGCAATATTACACATCTCCTCAGTTTGAGTATATGCTAACTGGGAATGAAATGATGATGGCTCTGTTGTTTCTTTCTTCCAGAATCTCTTACTTCAGAAAACCTATTTAGATATAGAAACTCTATTCTCTATTTCTTTCTTTTATGAAGGAGTTATGTTCTTCTCCCTTGCTCAAAAATGTCTGTAATTCTTTACAGAATGTCTGTATGGTTTCACTATGTCTTAACATAAGATTAAATGTAATTTGTCTTTTCCAATCTGATGGTAAAATCACCCATTTGCATACTTATCAAATGATCTAACTATGTTTTATTTCTATTAATAAAGCAACAAGCCACTGATGGTAATTCATCATTTGGAAGACTGTCAATACTGCCAAGGTAATTTTGACTTTTTGAATGTAAAAATTTTGTGAATATTTCTATAAGAAACTGCACATATCTATATTTATCTTGCACTTACTGAAAAATATTTAAAGAAATAGGTAATTGAAAATGTATTTGAAAAGCTAAGAATTTATTACTGTTATTTACAAAAACTCCACTGTGAAACTCCCCAACTAAGAACATGAAAAATACTCGGTGCTGCTGTCCTGCTATCCCTAATGCAGCAGTCGACAGTTTAAATTAAGAGACACAGATTTTCTAGTGACTCACTGAACAGATTTAATATTGTTTGGCTCTCCTGAACTGGTAACTAAAGAAGGAGACAAGGACAGGGCTGCTGAAATCGATCTAATAAGAATTTTCTGAGAATAATGCACTTTTGTCAAGCTGAGACATGGTATCCATTGAGACGACAGGCTTCATAAATAACAGAAGAGAGCTTCCATTTTCATAGCCGGGAGGTTGTACTGACATGGGTCAAAAAAACAAAAAGCAGTGATAGAGCCCTTAAGTGTCTTCTCAGGAATGTGAACCAGCAGAGGTTCATTCACAGGAACAATATGTGGCCAGTCTCCGGCCAATGTGGTCCTAAACGCAGAAGGAAAGGCAGTGTTTGAGATGGACTTCAAAATGATCACGTCTTTTCTAGCACTGAAGAAAGCTTTTGCAGAAAATGAAGAGATACAGGAAATGGCCCAAAATAACTTCGTTATGCTGAATCTCATGGTATGAAGGGTTTGGGGCGGTTTGACTGGTATCTTTTTGTGGCCTGTGTTTTCTCTTTCTTTGTCTTGCTTTTTCATGTCATTTTGATTAAGTATCTCTGGCATTTCAGTTACGTGTACGTACAGGCATTTGTGCATGTGTATATATATACAAGTAGTGCCTTTTTTGGTTTTGTGCTCTGGTACAAGACTATTCACAGATTATACTACATCATCAAAATTTACAGAAATATTTTAATAACTAGCTTTAATTTCTCTGCCAGCATGAAACCACAGATAAAAATCTGTCACCTGATGGACAATATGTGCCTCGAATCATGTTCATAGGTATGTACAATATTTATGTATCTTCAAAGTTGTGAAATTTGTATCTATGCCAGTGTCCTCCTTTGGGGACATCAAAATGATTAATTTTGCAAAAAGAAAATATCTCAAAATTGATCATTACCATGGCATTAGTCTGGATCTTGGCAGATCTGAATTCAGTTCTCCCTCTGCTGCAGGCTCTGACCCTTGTAAAGTTCCTCCGGTTGCAGATATGTTCTGGAGGGTACCTAATTTGTGCTTGGGGGCAAGATGTTTAAATATCTGTTAGCATCTGGGCTTTTGCTCTCCGTGCTTCTTGCTAGTGCCATTATAAGACAAAGTTTACTGAAAACAGTCAAATATCTGACTGAATATAGATGTCTACCATGTGGACGTTACCACAGAGCAAGTCAATGGTCAGTGGCATCTAAGGAATGATTTATCCCATTGTAAAGCTGACTTCTGGAATAGATTGAATTAATCATGCCCCAGAGTGCCTGTTCCTTTTCACTACTGTACAGGAAGCCTAGACTGACCAGCTCTGTGGTGGCATCCAAAGTTAGGTGAGATGAAACCCACACTCAGACAGAGAGGAACGTAGTAACAGCAGTCAGTTAATTAACAAAAAGCTTGGAAGGGAAACTGGGAGAAGAGACGTCTGCAATTAATGGAAACATTAAGAATCACAAGATTTTAATTCTGAAGGCTCTAGGTAGGTCATGTTAACATTGCAATAGGTACACATAACCCTCGCTATGTGTGATCCAGTCAAATTAGCCTCTTCCGATGTAACCCCAGAACTTGTAAAACAGGATATTTTTCTTTCAATATGGATTAAATGCATGTGTAATCTATCATTTAAAAATAGCTGCATAATATAAAAATGAGCATTAGATTTTGTTCAGGATTTCTCTGAGTAAAGAGCAGTTAGTTGGAACAGAGCACAACGGCCTCGTTGATGAAATCAGAACACCTCAGAAACAGGGCTGTCAAAGTAGTGCCACGGACATCGCCCTCAGCTGTTGTGGGACTGGAAAGCAGTCTTTAATACAATTACTTTTTCAGACCCATCTCTCACTGTAAGAGCTGATATCACAGGAAGATACTCCAACCGGCTCTACACTTACGAACCACAAGACATACCATTCTGTAAGTGCCCCCTTTGTTGTCTTACTTTGCATTTCACATTGTAAGCAGCTAGATACACCCCGTCCCAATCATTTGTTCTTGAGAATCCATTAAGAACTCAAAGTATTGAATAAAGACTATGTGTGAGCATTAGCAATAAATTATAATAGTCTAACCTGTTCTAACAATACACTTAAGCACACCTATTGTCCCATTGAATTTATTGGGACTACTCAGGTAAGACAGATTGAAAGATCGTGGGTGAGAACTTTCAGGATCAAGATCTGAGCAGTTTGCTGGAGAATGGTGAAAGTCACTATGCTCAAAGGTATACAACTGCACAATGTAAACAGCCTGTGGTGGGAGTGAATCGGTAAAGAAATGCTGGTAGTTACCTGGGTACCACCTAACACCGATATTTCTGAAAGGAATGTGATTTTTCAGGTTGAACTAGTCCTTACTCTATACCATCTATCTGATACCAATGCAGTATCTCACCACAAATATGCACATCACATCTGCTTACCAGGCTTGCTGTTGAGAAATAAGGGAGTTGAAAGGAGTCTTGTCAAATCCCTTTAAGCTAAACATTTTGATTCATGAAACTTTTTGCCTTCTGCTTTAACATCAATGCCAGAATTTTCACAATAGAAAGCGCTAAAATATAATATGTAACCATAAATTAATTTCAATGTGAACAATTTACTAATCAAATTAGGTGGGGTTTTTAATTGTACAAGTACACTTTAAGTACATTTTTGCACTTCTTATTTATTTTTCTTTCAGTAATAGAGAACATGAAGAAAGCACTACGCCTCATTCAGACAGAACTGTGACCAGCAACAGTGAAATGACCATAGCCTCAACGAGGTGAAGCTGCACTAGGAAACCAACATTTTGAAATATTTTAGTTAACCTCTCTGCCTTTACTAACATTTTGAACTCTTACCAAGCAGATTTGGTATATAAGATTTCAGAAAAAATTCATATGTACAATTTGAAGAGCAAACATAGAAAGACTATCATGCCCATTTGGAAAACAAGAGGAGAGATCTATTAAACACTTTGAAATTAGTTATCTGAGTAACTGAAAGGGATGGTTCAAGGTGCAGCAACTTTGACCTGTATTTCATCAATCCAGCTATGACTTTAAGTCAGCTATGACTTCTGACCAAGAGTTATAACCAATCTTTTTGATGTCTATTTGCAATTTGTTATACAAGTTTATAGCTGCATCTCGGCTCTTAATTTTTATTTTTAGTGCAAGAAGCTTGTAAGTCACTAGTGTAACTCTATTTTATGCACTTATTTGTCATTAAAGGAAAAGAAACTTTGCTGGCAAATCAGACAGGAAGGCTCTTCCTATAGATTTTTGGAATAGCTTATATAGAAAAAAATCAGTGATCTGAGCTTAGCTTTCTTCTGTATAATTCTTTAACTATCATTCTGGTAGCTGAAAACAGAACAGACATTTCACATTGAGCATGTAGTCTCAATGAGGTGATAATCATCAAATAGCAACTACAGGTTTTGCTATAATAAAGATAAAGTGAAGCAAGAGCGATGGAAGGACTCAGTCCCACAACTCCACTCCTGAGGCTAAGTGATGCTTGTAAAATCTGGTATGGGAAAAATGAGCAGGCTTGTCCTAGCTCTTTTCATTTAAATAGCACTCGAGTCATGTGAAGCTCACTCTTTTTCTGTAGCATCCCAACCCAGACATCGTGGTGGCAGCTTAGCGAGGGCATGTGTACCTACAAAGTCTTCACAAAATTTCCCCATGATCACTGTATGCAAAGGTGGATGCTTGTTTTGAGTAAAAATCTGAAATCAGCTGAAATAGTTTATTATCCCAGCAATGTGCTTTTTCATTAGAGCAAGACAGTAAGCAATTCATCTGCAGTAAGAGCATGTATGTCATGTTATGTTATGTGCAAAGCACCAGTGTCAGTTGTTTGTGCTACCTGCTGGTTCCTATGATGCCAACTGTATATACATGTAAAAGATGAAGGAAAGATCTTTGCAAGTCATCTTTGCGAATTTACAATACCTAGTATTAATTTGTCATGACTGAGTTCCACTGCACCTATCTATGTCTTCATAATTATGTAAAATTTGGATATAAGCATATATTCCAACAGAGTGGTGATAAATGACCTGTACACCACGATTAAAAAAAAAAATTCTTGTAGTCATTAATAGTATATTGCCTTCGTAATCATTTAACTGATTTTTTAACCTATGGGAAATGCTAGAAACAAAATTAAACTGGTAATCACATTCCTTTGAGTTGTGTTTAGCTCACACATTTATGTCTGTGTCTATTCCAAATTTGACAACATTTCCCAGACTGTGGGGAATGCCAGGGGTGTTCAGGAGGAGAAAGGGATGTGAGCTAGCTGCCAGAGATGACACCAGAAAGCCATGACAGCACTTTCAAAGTAGGGTTGAGAGAAGATTTGCTTCAGAGAGAAGCACAGCACAAAATAACTTTGGAAATGCTTAAGTACGTTAGATTCAAAATATTACCAAAAAGAGTAAGTGGACAGTGGCGGGTCTTTGCTGTCGTATTGCAGGGAATTTTTTCGCTCCATACATTCAATTTCAACAACATTAGTAGAGATCATGGGAGACATTAGCTTGAAACAACCTCTGGTTTGACTCAGGCAGGAAATCAAATGTGGGATAGTTACGCTATCAGCCAGTGCCTGCTTCACCTATTTAAGATTCAGAAGACTAAGGTTTCAGGCTCTGGATGGATATTTGAGGGAAGGTTGTATTTGTGGAAGTATTTGTATGGCTATGCTTTCATTCTTGTGTGAAACAAAAGCTTTCCATTTCAGATCTAGAAAGCAGCTGCAAAACAAACCTATTGTCCTCTCTTTGCCCCTGGTACTCCTGTTCCCTTGCCTGTGCTACTGTTCCACTAATTGCAAAGATGACAGTGTGTCATAAAAGACTCCTCTCATGGATTACCCTAGTCAGTCCAGATATTCACTAGCCTTTCAGTAAATGGAGAGCATCCTCACACGTACAAATGCTGAAAAGCATAAATATGCTGAGGGACCCTCTGGGATTACGCAGTGGATGAACATTTCACTTCTTTCCTGTTAAGCAGATACATGCACATATATGCAGCCCAAACCCAGGGATGATGTCATTTTAGTGCTGATTGCTGTCACTCCTCACAGTGAAATGTTAATCTATTTCTATACTAAAGAGAGGGAAGCCACAGACACAGTCTGATGTCACACCACTGTAACTCTGTAAAAGGCGGCTCAGGGGGAATCTCATTAATGTATATAAATACCTGAAGAGAGTATGAAAAGAGGATGGAACCAGGCTCTTTTCAGTGGTGTCAGTGACAGGACCAGAGGGAATGGGCACAAACCGAAACACAGAAGGTTCCGCCTGAACATAAGGAAACACTTTTTTACTGTGATGGTGAACAAGCACCTGCACACATTGCCCAGAGAGGTTGTGAAGTCTCTCTCCTTGGAGATACTCAAAAGCCATCTGGACATAGTCCTAGGAAACTGGCTCTAGGTGGCCCTGCTTGAGCAGGGGGCTGGACAGGTGACCTCCTGAGTTTCTCTTCCAACCTCAAGCATTCTGTGAAGTCAGCAGTCCCAACTCAGTGGGATTGTTTAGCTGAAATTAAAAGTGCTTTTAGAGAATTATCAGCTAAAAATAAGTCACTAATTTCAATGAATAAAAAACAGGACCTGCTTGTTTAACTAACTGTAGCAAAATTGCAAAATTGCAAAAGCAACAGAATTCAGAGCAACAGGGTCTTAATCGACTTTTTTACAATTTAAATTGTCAGGTTGATAGACATGAGAGGTGGCCCTCATAGCAAGTGAATAGCTAATGTGCAAGAGCTATTCCTAGATACAAGGACACACTGTAGTCACTCTGAGATGATAAGGTTCCCAAGCTTAACCCACATCTCATACCTGTGGTTGCCCTCAGTGAATTTAGTGTACTGAGAAGTCCTGATGTGTAACCTTTGCTCTGGTTTCTCTGGAGATAGTGCATATTGGCTACCTTCACTCAGTCAAAATCAAGTTTATTCATTCTGCACTGCCGATAACAATTGCTAATAAGATACACACTTGTATATATTTACTTTGGCTAGTGCAGGTTTACATTAAAATGGATAGTATTGCCATGCTTCCCTCTTAGCATCTATGATGCAGCAGGTAGGTTATCAAGTTACAAGACTAGATACTCAAATCAATGGTCCTTACAGAAACACTGAACTCGGGTGTACATCCTACATTATACTCAAATATGAGCAGACAGGTGTGAACTTGCTTGATCTGAAAGTTGTATGCTGACTATTATTTTACACAAACATTTGCATGCTTATGGATTACATTTGGGTCGCTTAGAACCATGGAATCATAGAATCATTTAGGTTGGAAAAGACTTTTAAGATCATCAAGTCCAACCACTAACCTAGCATTGCCAAGTCCACCACTAAACCATGTCCATAAAGCACCACATCTATGCATGTTTTAAATACCTCCAGGGATGGTGATACAACCACTTCCTGGGGCAGCCTGTTCCAATGCTTGACAACCCTTTTGGTGAAGAAATATTTCCTAATATCCCATCTAAACCTCCCCTGGTGCAACTCTAGGCCATTTCCTCTTGTCCTATCGCTTGTTACATGGGAGAAGAGACTGACCTCCATCTGACTACAACCTCCTTTCAGGTAGTTGTAGAGAGCGATAAGGTCTCCTCTCAGCCTCCTTTCCTCCAGACTAAACAATCCCAGTTCCCTCAGCCGCTCCTCAAAAGACTTGTGCTCTAGACTCTTCACCAGCTTTGTTGCCCTTCTTTGGAAATGCTCCAGCCACTCCACGTGTTTCTTCTA